GCATGACCGTGTACTCTCCAAGGCATGACATACACCGTCTGGGAGAGTAACAGGCCTTATTTTTTTAAACAAGGTGACAGGAAATGGATTCAGTGAAATGTGGTGGGTCCCTGATTAGACAGGTACTCAGTGGGCATAGATCAGCCCCCTTGACTGCTGCTTTCACAGAACAGCAATGAAGTTACCAGGGCCCCTGACTTTTGGGGCAGATGCCAACAGGAGAAGAAGAGAAGCTTGCACATGAGTCACTCATACCTGTGATGTCTGTCTGGGCATCTTCAGCCTCAGCTGCCACAGCCCTGCTCTTCCTCTCCAGCTCTTTCATTTCAGGCACGTAAAAGTCGCCTTGGCGGGCAAGGGGACACACAAAATAGATTCGGTCTTCTTTGTAGATCTCAAGTCTGGGATGGGCGCACAGCTTCCTCTCCTGAAAGAGGATCAGGCAACCATGACATTAGGAATGTACCTCCATCCCTGGCAGCCACCTCATCAAGCAAACCTGCTGATGGTGGCTTGTGATAAGCTGGTAGAGGTTACAGACCATCCAGTTTTACCCACAGCTCTGATGCCATAGAGGCTTGGGCTCAGAGAGGTGAGTCCCCTTCACCATGTGTCCACATGCCACCCAGAAACTGCAGTGCTGTTCTCCCCATGGCACCAGTTTCTGCACGCAAAGGACTGTGGGTTCAACCAAGGAAGGTGAGCAGCAAGCAGCTGCACCAGGCTCCTAAAGGAGGTGCTGCGTTGCTGAGCCCTGGAGAGGCCAAAACATCCTGCTCACCTTCAGTGATCCATTTCCGGAAGACCAAACTCACCACAGTTTTCAGCACGGGTGTTTCAAAATAGACTCATGCCCCAGGCAGCAAGCTGGGGTGGTAACTGCTCCACACTGCAGAAGTGCTTTTGGGGAAAGGAACAGGGAACCCGTTTGGTCATACGGACATGCCAAACCATGCATGGGAGCACTGAAGCTCTGCCTCCCATGCCCTGAGACATGCCAGGCCCAAGTCTTGGTGAAAATCCCAGCTCATTCCAGACCTCATCATGGGCTGAAGTGGGGCTAGTGTCTCAGTCTCCGGCAGCAGGGTCGTGCCTCTACTGACTGCCGCCCCCGCTCTCCATATTGCCAGAAGCAAGGGGTTTTGGGGAACCCAATAGCTGCTCTCACAGAGCCTGCCAAGCCTCCGACCTCTCCTCTCAGCATGGATGCGAGAGTCCTTCAAGCAGGCACACCACTTTCCTGCTAATTAATGTAATCCAGAAGTGACAGCTAAAGCAGCCCCTTTGAGAAATGCGAGGGCAGGGGCTGTTGGAGATGAATTCATTGCACTTCAGACAATTTTCCCTCCTCCTCTTCCTCACTTGGTTTCCACCTCCCCCCTGGCAGTACACTTCAGGCTCACAGAGACTCAAGCAGCCTGGCCTCTGCCAGCCTGGCACGGACATGGGATGGGGACACTTTTCTCCTAACACCTTGGTTTTCCCCAGGCCCACACTAAGTCAGGTAAGCGGGGCTCCAGGCACTCACGGGAGCCAGGGGCCAGGCTGAAAAAAGCAGCTGGACCCTGCTTGCTATTCCCTCCTCACCCGCGCAAATGCTGCAGTGCTTGCTGTTTGCCTGGTAGAGGGGGCAGTCTGTTTATAAGCCAGGTGAGAAGGGAGTGTGTCTCTTCAGTGGGTTTTGGCCCTCTTGCCTTTTCAAATAGCTGACAACTTTTATTTTGAGAGCTCAGGCAGCACAACACATATTCCCAGAGCCTTGTGCTGGAAAAATCTATGCCAGAGAGTGGGGAGCGCTGCGATGCCATGCCTGTTCTGCAGGCAAAAGCACCTACAGAAACCAAAAGGATGCAGCAATGTGCAGCTGGAGCATCAGGATCTTCCCACTGTATATCCAACATCTCACAGCCATTCCTGGATTTCATGATCTTCCTATTCCGGCTCTTTTCACAGGCCAAGGGAGGTCCAGGGAATTAAATGGTACAGGAGGATGAGACATCGGCTTCTCAAGACATGTTGACTTGATTGCCAGCAATTACCGTCCATCCCCAGTTGTGCAGAACTTGGGCCCGACTCCATATAGAAACAAGGCATTGGCTGCCCCTGACCATCCTCTTCCTCCCTGCCCAGCCAGAAACTTTCTCAGCCTTAAAGGGCCAAACCATTCTCTGGCCAGCTTTCCAAACCCTCTCCTCTCCACAGAAAGCTTACACAAAGCCAGTGACGTGGCAGATCCCAGGAAACTTCAGGCCCTAAAGTGCAGGTGAGGAGCTGATGGCAGCTGTCACCTCTCCTTAAACAGCGACATTCAAGGCCAACTGTGGTCCACAAACACTCTCTTGAGCGTTTCTATCAGTGTGAGCCTAACAACCACCCAAGGACAGGCTGCAGAACTGGGAGGCAGGGACATCCTACCAGGAGCTCTCAGGACATCTCAGGGCCTGTGCTAATGGACGGGCCATTCAGATTATCCTTGCAGGTGCCAACAGGGCCAGGGACACCCTCCACACAGAGTTGCTGCATCACAGCTTCAAGCCAGGTTTCCTCTAACGAAGAGTACTCAGGGGGGCAATATTCCATTTATAGGCAATAACACAATTATCTCCAGTCAAATCAATGCCACCCAATTAATGCCACTCAAACCTTTGGGCTGGAGCCAACAAACCCTTCCAGATTCCCTGTGAGGAAGGATGGAAGCAGGACAAACAGTGAGAAAACCCAATGAGAGTCATTTTCAGGCCTAGTCTTTCAGAGAAAGCCAGCAGGAACCCTGACAGCTCAATGCCTTGGATAAGTGGCCTAAGGTATTTTGTGGCAGGTGTCCAAGGGCCACAGATACTAGTGAAAATCTTCACTTTTCTCTCCATGGGGCCTCAGTTTCCCCATCTGCACAACAGTGATGAAAATATGAATTGTAAGCCTTGAGAATATAGAGGGCCATAGCTACTGACAGAGAGCAGGCAGCAGGAACTAAACTCAAGCCTGGGCAGAGTTTTTGCTGGTGCAGAAGGCTTACTTGTCCCGTTCCAACATCTCAGAGCCTGGATGAGCTCAGAGTCAGAGTTTTGGCAGAGTCCCTTATCCAACTGACTAAATCAAGGAAATTTGTGAAATCCCAGCACCTCCAAAACTCCTGGCTAGGCAGTGTCCAAGGTTAGAGTCCGGCCCCTGTTTAACCGCGGCATACAGGAAGGTCTGAGCCCCTCATCAAGGCATCAACACTGAACAGGGAAATCAGTTTTTTCACCCACGTGCTGCAGGAACAAGGAAATACAGCCCCCTCTAACATCCTGTGCAGGCGATACCTCTTGTGACCGAGCTGAGAGTACTGCTGAAAGGAAATCACATTTCTGACAAGCAGGCAAACCCAATCCCTCAAAGAGACTCGCAGGAACATGGGCAGGCTTCCAATGCATTTGAAGCCTAGAGTTCCCACTTCTAGGCAGGTGAAACAGTAACACACACAGATCAAAACTGTATTAAATAAAAACAAGTTGAGTTGTTTTTAGCAGCAGAGCAGAGGCGGCTCTCATAACTCCTGCTTTTTAAGCAACAAACCAGACAAGAATCCTCTCCACCACTCTGCCCCTTGCTCCACTAACAACAAGCCCATCAGGGAATCTTCAGCTCAGTTAGTTATTTTAGGTTACTGCAATACATACCAGAGACTGCTATCTCCAAGATTCATTGTTTTTTTGGAGGGATCCAGCTAGCCCTCCACCACTTAATGCAGACCAGGACAACGCAAAGGATATTAGAGCAGAGAGACCCTCACTAAGATTCACATACTCTAAGCAGTCTAAAACCTCAGGGCTGCAGTCTGGCCTCCAAGACATCCCAAGCTGACTAGCCAAAGCCCACCATGGGATTCCTGAACAGCAGTTTTGAGACATACTCTCTCAAAGCAATTTGTCAAGGCTGCTACAACTCCCCTTCCAATTATGCCAAAACAGTAGTGACTTGCCTCAAAATACAAGCAATGCCCCCTTTGTGCACAGATGAAAAGCAGGAATCACGTCTTTTTAAGGAGCAAAAGAGTACGACTGTATAAAGAGCAGGGTCCCAGATTTGCACTTGAGTCAAACACTTCTTCATGCTTTGTGATTGTCCTGTAAGAGAGATGAGGATGCTCCGTCCTGCCAGAGCAGGGTTGGGAGCTTTTGTTGGGAAAAACTTTGTCTCCCTGATGAGAGAAGAACCCTGAAGCCAAAAACAATTGAGGTGGATCAGGCTAGTGGGATGACGCTGACATAGCCGGACACTCACTGTAAACACCAACACCCACCTCATTATGGACACTAGCAAGGATGCTTAAGACTTGACCTTCTTCCTACCTCATCCAAAATTTTTCCCCAAAACAGCTAGAGGGAAATCTCCTCAACTCATACTAGTTTTCTAGTCGTAGAACAGGGGACTCTAGGATGTTGTTGCAATCCCTGTGGGGAAACAGAGGCACCAGCACATAAATAAAGTGACTTGGAGTCTGTATCAGTATGTTACAGGACTGAGAGAGGAAAAGCAATACATAGAGCAATTATGATGGCCGCAAAATAAAGAAAGGGAAAAAAATAGCCCACATTGTCATGGGTGCTTCCACAACACTCACATCCCCGAGGAAGCAGGGCTGCTAACAAAGTCCTGAAACCTGTCTCAGCCATGGCTTGTATAAAGGAGAGCTGAAAGGAGCTTGGGTACCAGTTGCACACCAGCAGGGCCTGCTTAGGGACCACCAGCTTTTAAGCTGCCTCTGCTCATCTCCAAAGGATTAGGCCAAAACAGCTACCAAGCTATGACACGCTATCCTTTTCACCAGGGAACTCCACTCTGTGGTCAGATCTCAAGGGAGCAGGAAAATCACCTTGCTGTCAACCCAAACACAGAGAACAGGACAGCAAAGGGCAAGGGGTCTCAAACAATGCTCTCAGACACCAGGTGAAAAAGTCACTACCAGCAACAGCTTTCCATCACGCTGCATGCCCAGTCCCAGATTGTACTGGTGTATCCCCAGAGCTGACTGCAAGCAGCCAAAAGCCCATGCTGCCCACTCTCCAGGCCAGGCACAAGCCGGACAGATAAAACGAGCGTTGAGACGGAGGGAATGCTCTGCCTCTCCACCACCAACGCACGCAGGTGGGCATGAACTCATTGCTTTCCCAGCTGCCTAATTTATGCCTTTGCAAATCAAGTCATGATCCAGACTAGAGAGCCAGCTCTTAAATCTGTGCTCCTTCCCAGAGCATCCCAACTCCTTGCAGGGCCACTGCAGGGCTCAAAAGTAGCAGCAGACTGGCCATCCTAGAAAAACCTTACAGAAATACAGGGCCACTCCACCAGCTCTTCCTTCCAGCTGCATAGCTGGCCCAGGTCTCTGAGGTGAGAAGGCTGCAGCACCCACGGGAGAAAGTAGGAGAACAACCCAGACATGAGCACAAATAGCGTGAAAAGATGGCAAAGGTATGAAAATCAGGAGCTGAGTTTTGGCCATTGGTGATTCCAGGGAGAGAACTGGGACAGGAGGCTGAGCTCAGGCGAGATGGATAGCATGGGGCACTGTGCACCCCAGCTGCACACA